AGAAATACCTCGCCGCTTTCCATAGCCTTAGGAGGTCTAAAAGTAATGTTTTTAGCTCATTCGTTGAAGGTGTGGCGACGGCTGAGGTGTTGTACGGGATTCGATCGTGTACTCCGGCAATGATCGACGAGTGGTCAGGTGTGTATTCAGAATATTTGATCACACACCAGACCTTTGCCCGCTCCCAAAATTTGTGCTTGCCATGTTCAATCAATGCTTTGAACTTGTGGACTGTGCATGCGTAGCGCAGTGGTTAGAGTTGCTTTTCAATAAACATGCCGCAGTCGCTTCGATCTCGTACTTCAGACTCACCAAGTCGTCCATTTCTCCGGATCGGCAAATCAGTACTAGTACTTATCTGGAAGGCAACAGCGCCAAATCGGTGCATCAATAGGTCACTGCGAATCATTTTACAGGCCAAATACGCATTCGTTTAACCCTAGGGATGCTTGATGAAGTCGAATGCATGGCGAATTCCTCATGGATTGTAAAGCACCGACGGCTTTAATTCTTGAACTCCTATGGAAGGTTTATCCCGCTTTATAATTTGAAAACTTCGGAAAAATGAACACATCTGGTGTTAAGCAATAGCTATAATTTTAGATCCTATTTATCAATTGTACAATTTGTTTTCACTCATTGTAGGGATCTAAGTGCTTCAACAAAGGGCGCGTGTGGCGCAGTGGTCGGAGGCTTCTTGCGACACACACACACACACACATAGGATCGATCCCCGCGCCCATGGCCCACCAAGCCCTCCGGGCTCGGAAAATTGGTAGCAGACTTGCCTGGGAGAATAGCAGCGCTGGCTCGATACATCGGTAAGCCACAGCGAGTCATTGTAAAAGCCAGATATGCATTCAATCACCTCATACGACGCTTAGTGAAGTCGAATGCACGCTCAATCCCTCAGAGATCGATCAACGCCGAGTGCTTTATCCTTTAAGTACTTGGTTTGCTAGTCTTGCATCTCTGATAAACGGTGCTTTTAAGACAATGCTTAAATGTTCAGTTGGAGGCTGACAATTTCTTAGTAGTCCCAATGAGTACACTCTTCGAAGCCGCCGAGCATCATATTTTTCTTCTTCATCGAGATTACTGAATTGATTATCGTGTCGATGGCCTTTCTGCACTTTTCCTTTCTAAATTGCCAATGATTAATTTGTCAACGGCTTAGGCATCGCAAGGTGTTCAAATGAATCAATGTTCATGATCAAAGTCGGTGTGACGGAAACGCCAATTCGGCTTGCTCTCTTATCACTAAATATTTCGATAATTAGCTTCTCTCTGATATCATTTATAACGCTCAGTGGATATTTTCTTTGCTGCCAAGGATTCCTACGAGATGGTACCTAATACTGTTAACTAGCGCCTTCCCTAATGCAGGATCTGTCGCAATGGCGCTGCAGAAATAGGGTATTTATCCATAAGATCTATACGTGTTATAAGAGAGAATAGAAACGGTCTTAGATCGCGTCTAATATTCTCTTTGTCACTTAGGAAGGCGCCACGTTGCTTCGAGGCTGATCGAGTAGATATCAGTCATTGAGGGACCTAGTCACAAGGCGGTAAACCTTTCTCCCACTTTCTAATCCCTTTAGTGAACTTGGAACCCTTGCCTTTGCGTGACAAATCCTACACATATAAATATATATGTATGTGTATATATGTATATATGTATATATGTAGATACACATGTATATATGTAGATTCATATGTACGTATATATGCATATATATATATATATATATATATATATATATATATATATGGGACTCGTGTACCGCAACGGTCAGAGGAGCCCTGCAATACACATGAGACCGATCCCAGCGCACCACGCTCACCAAGCCTTCCAATCCTCCGGGGTCGGCAAGTTGGTAGCGGACTTGTATGGCAGGATGACAACACTGGCTCGATACATCAGTGGTTCACCGCGAGTCATTTAAAGACCTTATATGTCTTCAATCTCCTTTTAAGATGTTTAATAAAGTTAAATGCACGGAGTATCTCTCAGGAATTGATCGACGCCGAGAGCTTTACCCTTTTATACGCACGCATATATATTCAAATTACGTAAATATATATATATATGCGTATTTGTAAAAGGATAAAGCTCTCGGCGTCGATCAATTTCTGAGGAATACTCCATTCGTTTAACTTTATTAAACATCGTAAAAGGAGATTGAAGACATGTAAGGTCTTTACAATATATATATATATATATACAAGTATATATATATGCATATATACTTATGCATGGTGGAACATTTGTAGTCGCTACTGCGATTCCTCGTATGGGTGAACAATTTAAATAAGTATTACGGCTAATGTGTAGATTCTTTGCATGCTCCTACTACACAGTTCGCTATAATCTATTTCAGAGAAAGGCTTGCTTCCACGGATGATGGTGGTATGGATGAGCGAGAGTGTGCCGAACTGTCTTTTAAGCACTGCACATGCGGGAAAACTTATCCAATTCACCATCACTAAAGATGTGCCAAAGTTTGCACCTTATCTACGAACGAGGTAAGACTGGAGTAAACTGGAAAGAGACTTCTAGGAGAAACCACTTAAAACAATCCAAATATGCAATGCAAATATCCATTGCAGTGAAAAGTTTTTTTGGAAAATAGGCAGAACGGAAAATGAGGAAGTTGAGTGTTGTTTTTTGTTTTTTTGCCTGAGAATTTTCGGATGAGCGCCCCCAAAAAGTTGTCAGCCTGATGGTTCATTTGTTTTTCTTGATGAGCAAAAAGGAGATTGTTACTACAACATTCGCCAACGGTGGGAATGGAGAGTGGCGATGTAAATGCTAGCGCCACTTTTGCGGTCGACTTCTACATTCATCCCAAGAATCTCCATCAAGTGAACCTCGCCAGGATTAGTAAGTGGTGTTAAGGCTTCATAAAGGACTATTTAATTACAATGCTAACTTTTTATTTACTGCGTGCTACAGTTTTTCACGGGAGGGTATTAGGTCTGTTAAAATCACAATGGTGCGGGGAAAATTGCAAGACTGTGGACCGTAGGTGTGTGCGGTGGGGAACGAACGCGCTACTATGCTTTCCTCGGGTTGACGCGTTCACCACCACACCGTGCGGGTCCTTCGTTTTGACTGCCTTTCACCTAGTTTTATTGATCAATGCCATCAGCAATCACCCATCAATGACATTGATCCTGCGAGCTCAAATCGGCAATGAATCCGGTGTAGCTGAGGCTCTAGTCGAAATTGCAATGTTAACTTTCTACTTGCTGCCTTATTACAATTTAATTAGTTAGTGATTCACTGTCATTCTTGATGAGGAAACACGACATTGGTACTACGCATGTTTTAGTACGGAATAGCTGACATTTCGGTGGTTTCATCTTCTTCAGAGCCTGGAAAGGTCAAATTAACACGAAATCGTCTCAGCCAAACACTATTCTTACCTCCTCAGACAATGGTCAACGCTTAAATTTCTATTCGCCTGATAAACTGCTTCTTTTAAACACCCATCGTGTTGTTTTTTGTAAGTCTTCCAGTTATTTGGTGGAGATCAACTGTACAGAGTATTACATAGGCGTGGAAAGTGCCTTGGGAGTCAAGACAGTGTTGGGGCAAAGAATGTGCCTGGGAAACAAAACAATGTTGAAACACGGAATAAGCTTACTTTAGGGTCCACATATTTTTTTAGCTTTGGTCCATTTCATGCCATATCCATTTCACGTACGTCCAAATCTACTTTCAGTATTGGAACTGTCATCTTCAGTTGTGCCCGAAATCCAAGAAAACAGATTTGTAGGAAGGTTGAACGGCTCCGAGATAGATGTTCGCGAGGATTTTTCACGCATCGGTAAAATGTCCAAAACGTGAGTTATAAATTACCGTCCTTTCACTATAGACCATGTTTCACCTCTTTAATTTACCTATCCCTTCCAACGGTTTACCGCCTCATTGTGGCTGGGAGGTGTTCTTGCGCGTCGGACTGCGATGTTTAGCGAGGATTCATCCCCTGGCAGGGTCTCCCAAGTTGAGAAGGAGTCTGGCGTTTCCATAACGAAGCCTAACTAAAAGTAAACCAATACCAAGATCTACCACCGTCCTGGTATCAAAGCGCCATGGTGGCAAATCTCTCTGATCCACGAGGACTGCGACTGCCTGTGGTGGTGACGACCTGGGGCAGACTTTGGCCGGCCTGTCGTCAGGATTCCAGGAAACCACAATGGCCTAACAAGCAAAACTCCAAAAAATGGTGATTATGCTGGTGCTCGCACAACTAGCGATGACCGGTCGTTCAAGTATCAAGTAATTTACCTATCATGGGTATACGTGTTCTCGCACTTTATTAAGAGTGTTGTACTTTTCCATGTTTATACAACTATTTTTTGTCATGTAATATTACACCATTACATTGCTTATCCGTTTTTTCCTTTACTATGACAAAGCGGAAATCTATTATGGTGGACCATCAGCCGAGGTCAAGAAGTGCATGGCGCTACGACTAATTTATTAATCGCTTCTCATATTCGAAAAGCTTCCTCTTTCCAACATTCTGGAAAGGTGACGCATAAAAGCCATACGGCAAAAAACCTTTACAGGTTACTATTTTGGTAGCGACTTTCATTTTGCTTTTCCTTTTTCTTACAGCGTATATAAAGAGTGTTTATATTAAATGGCCTGGCGGAATTCGTTCATGGGACCGAGTTTGAAGCTAGGAACATGGTTATTTAGTTGTAAGAGCACTCAGGTTAACCAGGACAGGTTAACAACACAATGATCTCCGGTTGCTTGGCGTAGATCTCAGCTTAAATTTCTTTACAATAATTCTTCAGATTTCTTGCAATGTTCAAAGAGGTGTTCGCGATGACCGCCCATGTGATGACGCAAGCAATACTCCACAACGGGGTTCCCATTCCCATTTTTGATAACATCACCGTATCAAGTAAGTTTCACTGGACAACACTCACAATCTTAACCTTTTTATTCACTGCCATTTCTTTTAACGGCAGAATATGTTGCGAAATATAACTGCTATAATGCTGAGATAATTGCAAAACTCCGAACCGTAGGTGTCTGCGGTGAGGAACAAACGCGCTAGCTGAGAAACGGGCGAAACGAAGGACCCGCATGATGTGGTGGTGAACGCGTTACTCACCGGAAAGGACAATAGCGCGTTCGTTCCCACCGCAGACACCTGCGGTCCGGAGCCTTGGAAATATCTCAGCATTATAGTAGTTATATTTCGCAACACTAACAATATTCGGACTCGTCAAACTTCTTCACTATGTGCGATAGTACGAGAAATGTGTGAGAAACATCAAACATTTGTTGTATAAACCATTATTACTATAACGACCAACGATACGAACATAAGGAAAACACTCACATCCTCGATTTATGATCGAAAAACGTAATCATTAGAAGGAGGTATCCGCCATAGGATTCCATTCATGCGGACGTCATTCATCACTTCTCGTCTGCTGTGTAATAGAATTCAATATCTCTGGTTTGGATCCTAACTCTCACCTCAAAGAGAGAACTTTCCTGCTTTTCAGATTTCGAAGTTTTACGCTTATTGAGAATTCTATAATGATTTATGAAAAAATTAATGTTTCAGATTCATCAGAACTTCGTGTATTCAAGAAGTATATCCGTCTGGATGCTGATTTTAAATGGAATTGATTAAATAAACTTTTTTTTAAATGAGTAACATTCAATATGTAGAGAACAAATTAAGAACTGAATAACGATGAAAAGAGAACATGCAATGGAAATGCGATCTTGCTCTAAGACCAGGAGATTACAGGTGTCCTTCGCACTATTCGTCATTTACCTATGTTTATAGTGAGTCTACTCGCTCTGTCTCATTACATCTTGCCCATCCATCCGTTTACTCTAAGACAATTACTCGGAGCTCACCGCTTACTGGAGAAGCTCTAGATGGAAAGCTCAGAAAAATCTTTAACCTAAGAAAAACTCATGTGGGATACCATAACTCTCCAAAATTATTGAAACTGTGAGCTACTGATTTTCCAAGAAAGTCCTCTGATCTTAAGTTATCCGTTTTGTCCATATATTTGGAAACATTTATCACCTTTCTTCAATTATCAGGATATTATGTGAACTGTTTTGGATGCGTGAGTTGCTGAATTTAAAGCAATTTTCCAAAAAATTCAATTTTAGTAATAAAAACAGAACCCATCTCAGCAACGTATCCTTAACAACAGCCTATAATCTTAGCTAGTTTACGACGATGAAACCTAAACTTTAAAAAAACACTTTTCCCTTTTTCTTTCTTCTGTAGAGGTTTTACTGTGAAGAAATAGAGGTATGGAAAAGGCAAGATTTTCTATAGAGGGAAGCGACACTGCTCCCAAACGTTTCTTCCCCGTGGACGATTACTGTACTTGGGTTCTGCAATTTAAGATTTCTTCAATGCAGTAATCTTTTAAATTCTCATGAGGTTTTTGTTTTCTTTCATTTTTTAAAACACCTTCAAATTGTGTTTAAAAGGATCCAGAGTAATCTGTATACCGAATAGTTATGGACATCCCTGCATCTACGGGACAAATCCTCTTCTGTAGGTCTTTCAATTTCTTGATACCTCAAATAGTTTCGGTCAGCGTAAAAACCTTCAAAGTTAATTGTATCGGAGGCGCTTTATTCAGTCTAAAAAATAATCCCATTGATAAACTGTTTTTCTGGTTACTAGTTAGATTGCTGATATGGTTGGGCAAACAACTCAGAAGTCCACCTCTGTCGTTTGGAACAGTTAGCATTTCAGTGTGTTCCACTGCTGGTTCGTGAGATTCCAGGAACATTATGCCTTTCCTAAGACCTTATTGGAATGACATTTTCATTTGCACGATTTGGTATGTTTAGCTTTCCACTCTCTCGTGAAATCAATTGTCGGCTATTTCACGCTGTTAATGTTCGCTCACGTTTCTCTGTCTGACCCGTGGTTGGCGTCACACAGCGGTATCACCAGCAAACCAAGGTTTTCAATCGACTCTCATACTTGTGTTATTCCATTCCATAACGTGTTCTCAAGGATGAAGATAATTTGCACAAATAATATCGCATGCGTAGACTTCATCACCAGTAAAGGGCAACATAAACGGGATTTTCCTTAGGCCAAGTGTTTCGTTTTAACGCGTCGCTGTTCTCCTAAACTTGTGCTGGCTTCCATTTGTTAGCGTTCAAATCGACTTATCAAGTTGCGTTTACGTGACAAAGTGGGACCGAAAATCAAGTAACAAAAACATCCTGGTTCATTTTCTCTATTCTCACCTTTCACACGCAGTGGGAGCGCTTGTGGGAAATATGTTTCAGCACCTCTGTGTGCACGACTAGGGAACTAAAGGAGGAATCACGCAAGTTAGCTCGGAAAATAGCCATCTCCAATGGCTACGAAATACTTACATCAAGTTCTGTGTCATAGGAAGCGTTGAATGGGTGGCTTCGTCTCGTCTCGGCCAGGCCGATGACGTCGTACTTCATCCTTCTTGCTTGCATGAGCAATTCTTCTATAGAGGACTCGGATGCAAGTGTACGTGCATTGTAGGTACAGATCGTAACCATAGTTCTTTGAAATCTAGGCGCTTTTCGGGGTCAGGGGGATGAGGCGCGTTTTTTTTAAATGTGATTAGTATTTTTGATACCCACGTATAGCTTGCTGGGCTGTGAGCGTGTGGGCTGGGTACACTCACGAGTAGCTTGCCAGGCTCCCGCAGAGTGGAAATGGAGCTCATTTGTTGGAGGCGACTCCTAACCGCCTCCCATATACTTCCCAGTCACTTGATTCCGGGCTTTTGGCCGAATTGACTCGTAGAATACAATCCGCACAAGCAAGAACGCACCCACACACGCACGTATGAATACGCCTAGCAAATACAGAAAGTATGTGCCAAATTAGCGTATTACTACAATTCTATTTTCCGACCTGGGTGAACCTCGCTCGTCATCTCACTTAACGAGTACATGGGTGGTCCCACTCGCAAGAGCACGATGAGTAATTTTTGATCAATATGGCATTAATTTAAAAATTAGATCTTTATTAACATCGTAGATTTTTTACCGAATTATAAGTCTGTTGTTTTATGGAACACGTCGAGGCTGTGAACAAGGAGAAATCGCCAGAACGTCAGCCGTCGAACAACATCAACAGCCACAGCAACGTTAAGTTATGTTAACTTCGCATAAGTTCAATACAGGCAATTCGTAAAAACATATAGAGATAAATCGGTTATTTATCCGAGGCTTATAGAAAGTCGATCTTCTGAATTACATTATTGTTAAAAATATCGGAGTATATACAACAACTGCAATAAACCTGCTTATAACAGAATGGAAGTACATTCAGCAAGCTCGATCGGGAATTTTCGTGTTCCTTATGGGAGTATTGGCCCCCTGGATCTTACCACCATAGTTGTCGGAGTCGGTAGTTGTCGTTTTTTACATATAAAAAATTCGCCGCGATATGTTCTGAATGACGAAAATTACTCAATGCATGGGCCGATTAGATCAGAATCAGAACAAAGCAATTTTAAATGGCATACATATATGGAATAGCATTGGAACTATCAGTATGTCAAGCTGTTCATGTCTTGGTTTTCTTATGGAAGTGTTATCTTAATTGAGCACTTCGCAACAGCTTTCCTGACGCTGCAAGGACTTTGAAAAGCAGTGCTTAGTACTGATTTCAATATAAACTTTTCTACCTGTATATCCCTAACTTTCCCCATCTTCTTAGAGACCACTTTATTTCAGAATATTCCTAGATCTGTCACATCATTTGCAGATGTCAATTTTATACCGTACTTCTTGATCTTCCTCATCCTCAACATCGGGCGATCAACAAGTGATTCAAAACTGCATGAAAATCGGCCTTGGGCAGGTATTATACAAGGATCGTTGTTCAGTTCCTAAACCACTTCCTCTTGCTTTAGTCTTTTACTCTATAAGATGTGCACTCCTCGCAATTTATACTATTTATTTCCATGATATATTATGCCCTCATCAGCCTTTTTGATCATTACATGGTAGAAACACTGCTCTTTCATAGTGTTAACGCAGTCGCATTGGCGCATAATTTTACAAGAGCATAGCTTGGGACTGAAGCATTTTCTTGTCGTGCCTTATATGCATTGAAATCAAGGCATTCAATCTGCTGTGATTCCCACGGTGGCCATGCCTCCTCTCTGTTTCTTAGCCTATAATTCTTTTCTTAGAGATCATTCCAGTCTCATTTTCATTGGGACATGGTAGCACAATTGCAGCCAATCTTTCATTTAGGTTCATCGTCAGTTCTTTTTTGCTTTAGTCTTCAAAAAAATTTTATCTCTGTTGATCAATCTCTGGGAGATATGACATAAACTCGAGTTTATCAAACAACATTAGAGATATTTGAATTCATCTCTGGTCTCTACATTGACTTCCGGTGACACTCCTAGCAACTTATACTATTTATTTCTATGGTATTTCCATCTTCTGATGCATCCAGCAACTACTGCCATACTATCAGATAGGTCAGGTACCAATTTGCTGACAGGCAAGGATAAAACGCATGGTGAGTCCGGGGCGCCGGATAGAACCAAGGACCACGTGCGCATTGCATGGAACTTCTAAACACTGCGTAACAAATGGCTCTCTGAGCAATACATGCGGAGAGTTTTCGTTTTTAGTATAATTTTTCACTCTTTTTTAGTTCACTCGACACGATACTTGAATGGCTCGTCTTCACTGGTTGTGTGGGCCCCAGTATAGTTCCCATTTTTCGGAGATATCTGGGATCGGAGAGGGATTTGCCAGCAAGCGACTTTGATACCACGACGGTGGTGGATCCTGGTTTGGTGTACTCCTAGCTAGGGTTACTGATGGAAGCGCCGGACTCCTTCTCAGCTTGGGAGACCTTGCCGGGGGGACGAATCTTCCAGCTGTATATCGCAGTCCTACACCCAGAAAGACCTCCCAACCACGATGAGGCGGTAAACCGTTAGGAGCCTTTTTAGTTCCAACTCATTATTTAGTGCCTTCTGTTTTTTTAATGGCAGAGTATATTGCGAAATATAACCTTAATGATGCTGGGATGTAATTAATATAATGCTGAGATATTTGCAAAACTCCGGAGCGTGGGTGTCTGCCGGTGAGTAACGTGTTCACCACCACACCATGCGGGTCCTTCTTTCGCCTGTCTCTCATCTAGTTCCATCGATCATTGCCACAGCAATCACCCGTCAGCGGGGTTGATTTGGCTGTCTAAATCGGCAACGAAACCAGCTAATTGGTAGTGTGGTGGTGAACGCGTTACTCCCCGGAACGGACAATAGTGCGTTCATTCCCCACCGCATACACCTGCGGTCAGGAGTTTTGCAAATATCTCACCATCATTGAAGTTTTCAGTTTATTTAATAAAATAGTAATAATAAAATTTGTATCTGAAAAGATAATACTTTTAAGATAAGATATCTGGTTAAGATATAAATTTTTTACACGACCCAACTTCATATCTACCGTGCGGATCGCAGTACTTCTCACATTACGTTCATTTCCTGGCATCTGCCATTCGCTGTGGTCCTTCCTACTTTATGTATACTCTCGGCTACTGCTTGAGGATTTTTATTTCATTTTAAATGTCATAGAATACTGGTCGACTGGAATCTCCCGGGAGTCCAGAGATAGCT